GTTGGCTCCGACTCATAGTGACCCTTTGTACAACAGAATGAAACACTGCCCAGTCCTGCACCAGCCTCACAATCCTTGCTTTACTGAGCCCATTGTTGCAGCCACTGTGTTAGTCCATCTTGTTGAGGGCCTTCCCCTTTTTTGCTGACCCTCCACTTTACTTTCCAACAACATGACCAAGTAGGTGAGACGAAGCCTGGCCATTTTTGTTTCCAAGGAGTATTCCAGCTGTACCTCCAGGACAGATCTGTTTGTTCTTCTGGCAGCCCATGGTATTCTCAGTATTCTTCTCCAACACCACAGTTCAACAACAAATGCCTCAACTCTCATTATGTTATATAATAGGATTATTATAGAATTGGAAAGGGGAACAACTACATAGGGAATTCCATATCTTCCACATTTTACTTTTTTTAAAAAATGATAAGAGAAATAACCTAGTTCAGAAAGAAAATAGTATTTTCTTTTCACTTATGTATGTTTTTCTGTCTTAGCACCATAATAACGAATGATTGAGACCAAGCTCTATGAATACATATTGTTGTTGTTGTTGTTATGTGCCATCGAGTCGGCCCCAACTCATAGCGACCCCTCCTTGGGTTTCCGAGGCAGTATCACTACAGAAGTAGGATTGCCCAACCTTCCTTCCAAGGAGTGGCTGGTGGGTTTGAACTGCCAGCCTTCTGGTTAGCAGTCAAGTGCCTTAGGCACTAAGCTACCAGAGCTCCTGAATACACATAGGCATACATATGTACAAATAAATGCATATATGTTTTTACATAGATATATGTACATACATACATAGATGTGTGTGCATACATACACACACGTATATGTTGTTACTGTGTGCCATCGAGTTGACTCATAGTGACCCTTTAGGCAGAGTAGAACTGCCCCATAGAGTTTCATAGGCTGTAATCTTTACAGGAGCAAATTGTTAGGTCCTATCTTTCAAGGAGCAGCTAGTGGGTTCAAACTGAAGACCTTTTGGTTAGCAACCAAGCACTTAACCATTGTGCCATCAGGGCTCCTTACACTCATGCTCATATATATATACACAGATCAAATCAAAGTAGAAAAGCAATGTAATAGTATTGTTGTTAGGTGCCATCGAGTTGGCTTCAACTCATAGTGACCCTATGTCCTATAGAACAAAACATGCCTGTCCTGTGCCATTCTCACAATCCTTGCTGTGCTTGAGCCTGTTGTTGCAGCCACTGTATCAGTGCATCTCTTTGAGGGTCTTCCCTTTATTGCTGCCCTATTAGATGCTAAAAGAATGTAATGTAAAATTTAGCAACCATTTCTGATAAAAAGTCAAAGTAAAAATAGAAGTGGAAGGAATTTTCATATATACAACAACTTTTAAAAATTAACACAGTTCAAGTGATGAAAGTTAAAATTCTAGTGAAAAATTTCAAGTCAAATATTACATAGCAGGTCCTAAAAGCAGGTTAAAGTTTCTCAGTAAAAAGAAGGTAAAGAACACATTACCCCTGACTGACATCTCCTCCCCATTCTTTTATAATGAGAAGGTGATAAGATGAATGTAGTTCAATATATTACTCGGTTGGTAGTGGAGATGGGGCTGGAAAACAAGGTATTTTGCTTTCTGGCCAATGTTGCCTCCCACATTTTCTATTTAAATTTTATTTTAGAATAAAAATTTTATGCTTGGATTGCCACATTTTGTTTCATTGTTTGGTATTTATTGAATTGCTTTATAAATTCCATTTCCTTAATTCTTATACTTAACACCCTTTATGAAACAAGCACTATTATTCCACTCAGGTGTCATTAGAGGGATTGAGTCACACAGCTGTTAAGTGACTACCTAAGATTTCACACAGCCCAGAGTTCAAATCCTGAGCCTCATGCTACCTATTCAATATTCTAGCTCCTTTACTTATTGAGTAACCACTACGAACACAACTCATTTGATGTGCAACAGCTCTCAAAGTGGATATCACAAACATATTTCAAATTTCATCTCACATAGTGATTTGGATGCTGTTCTTTCTGGCATTTTCCCGAGGCACACCCAACCTGGAAGCACTCCCATACAGAGGAAAGTTTCACTCTGCAAGATCCCATTGCTTCTAAATAGGGCTAAGGAAGAAGAGCCTGGTGGGAACCTGTCCCTCATCAGGCATGGCCCTAGCAGGCCTGGACACTCTTGGCTCGATGACTGAGAGTGCAGAGAAGAGCAGGCATTGGCTTACACTACGTTAGCATAAACCAAAAGCAGTTACCGTGGAGTCAACTCTGGCTTGTGGTGACCCCATGCATGTCAGAGTAGAACTGTGCTCCACAGGGTTTCAATAGCTGAGCTTTCGGCCTTTCTTCTGAGGTGCCTAGGGGTGGACTTGAACCTCCCACCTTTTAATTGTCAGCTGAGCATGTTAACCATTTACACACTATTACAGAAGCTCAAACATAATCCAATGAAAACCAAATACATCTCCATCCAATGGCTTCCAACTCATAGTGACCCTGTGAGACAGAGTAGAACTGCCCCATAGAGATTCCAAGGCTGGAATCTTTATAGAAGCAGACTGCCACATCTTTTTCCCACAGAGCAGCTGGTGGGTTTGAACCACCAACCTTTCAGTTAGCAGTTGAGTGCTTAATCACTGCACCACTAGGGCTCTGCTCTGAAGGTGAAAAGGAATTAGAGTTACTTGTGGTTTCAGTTGAAATGGACAGATTAACAAGGTAGCAAGAAATCGTGTAGTAATTCTTTCCTCAACTCCTTCGTCTTCTTCAAGTATTTTCTTAACCAGTTACAAGTTAGGGTTTGAAGAATGAAGGACCAGTGTGGGGGGAGGTGCTCTTTCTTTTCCTCTTTGAAGAATTTGATGTTATTCCAAGTTCTGAGTGTGTAAAACCTGAGCTCTTCTGATTTCTGTCTCCAGTTTGTTTCTTTGTTTCACCCTTATCATGTAGGAAAGAAGGAAGCAAATACTTGATTTTCCATCTCTCTCCTCCTATTTCATTGACTTGCTTCAAGTATAAATATTTCAGGTTCCTAAGAGAGGAATTTGGTAGAGACAGCCTCTTATTTATTCTGTCTTAAGAAAACGAAAGAATTGTAGTAAGAATTGGTGTGTTTGTGCTTTTTGGGCATTTATTATTTGCTAACATGTAGACTCTCATTCATTATGTTCTGTTTCTTGTATTTCTTTTCACTTTTCTCTTTTATTCTGCTTTCACATCTTCTTGTTTTTTCTATAGACAGTTCCTTCTCTGACAATTACTCATTTCTTCCTTGTACCCTTGCTTTATTTCCTTTTCTTATCTGAAAGCCTCCCTTTGTATTTGATTCCCCACCTTCTCCCTTCGCTCTCTTTCTTCCTTCATTGTACAAGTCATTATTGAGTCCTTGCACCCTGTAAATCCATAATCCCCAGATTGGACTATGTTGTAATCACTACTATCAAGATAACTACTGATATTTCTAAATTTAAAAATAACATGATGTTAAATAGAAATTTGAAAAAAAAAAAAAGAAAAACTTCAATAATTCCAGCAACCTCTGGCTTTTAAACAGTGTATTAGAAGACTTGAATCTTTTACAAAAGCCTACATTCAGTCTCCTCTTTTATTCTTATTCTTTTCATCTTATAAGAATATTAGTCTTATTCTTTTTTCTCTGTCTTTCTAGAAGATGTATTGCTTTTTAAAGAGAGTAGATTTAGGGCAGTAAATACAGGGCAAGAGAGACTAATGAAGTCAAATTAATCCGCATTTGAGCAGTTTTGCTAATTGCTCTGAAAGGAGTAGCTAATGTCCTGCTCAGAACAGCTCAGTAAAGGCTTAAGGGGCCAGTTGATCAGGGACATGTTCCTTTAGCAAGACTGAAGATTTCAGACTCTGGGGTGTGCAGTTTTGCCACAGTCCTTGTAGCAGTGAAACTTGGGAAAGCTGGAAACTGTCAGAGAAGGAAAATATTTTCCACTAAAATGAGTGATGGGAAAGTGTTAAGACTGTACCCCGTCAAAGGCAGAAAACTTGCAAGACCTGGAAAAACAAGGTGGTTCCATCAAGTTCTGGCTCTCACAGGTGTCACTGCCATTGGGTAGAGCCCTAGGTATGGCCCAGTCCACAAAAGAAGAATAACCGCTTAGTCCTAATAGAAGCAGATGAAGCACGTGGTTTTTGGTGTCTCATAGTTCTCGAATGTCCTCCCCATATGCAGGGCCACCATGGACCCCAGTGATCTCTGTTGTATTTCTCCAATGCTTGAGGAACCGACTCCACTGAGTTCTGCTGCATGTCCTCCAACATGCTGGCATTTTTCATCACAGAGTGGTCTATATAGTATTTTTTCAGTTTCTCTTATAAGGAATTTATTCGTTTCTGGAGGTTTCCTTGAGCGAATTTAGATTGGCAGGAAATGAACTTTAGTGTGTTAACATTTGTAGTTTGTGTAATGGGCCTCTGGATAATAAACACACATATTTACATACTCATAAATATACATATATTTTAGCTTTTACATTTTTTCCATAATGATCATGAATGACATTTTAAAAATGACATTAAAATTTGCATCTGAAATTTAAGCAATATTGTTTTTTTTTTTTTTAGGATTTGGGTGAAGATTTACAGAGTAAATTCGCTTTTCATACAGCAGTTCACATATACTTTGTCTCATGTCATTGACCAAAATTTACAATGCAGCAGCTCCCCTCCCACTTCCTCCCCATAGTTACCTCCTCCCAGTGTCCATCCCTCCTCTTCTGCACCCTGAGCTATCTCCCTGTGCATAAGCAGCCCTTCCTTCTCCCATGTAGCAATATTGTTTTGAATATTTGAAAAGAGGAGTTACATTTCAAATAATTGAGTTGCACGGTTCAAATGATCAAGTGTGGCTAAAGTAATATTCTGACACATGATTACATTTGAATGGATATGGAACCTTTGAATTCCAATTGGAGATACTAAATTTCTATTTCATTCTACTAAATTTCATACTAATTTTCCATTTTTGATCATAGGACATTTCCAAGTTTGCAGAGAAAGACAATATAGTTCTTGGAGAGGGAGGAATCACACTGAGTGGAGGACAACGAGCTAGAATCTCTTTAGCAAGGTGAGTATATGATCGATGGCCTAGCTGGCACTTGCTGTAAATATCATGCATGTAAAAAGTATAAGCATTTCTCTATTGCTTATTATTATTATTATTACTGTGATTTGGGTGAAGATTTACAGAGCAAATTCACTTTCTATACAGCAGTTCACATACACCTTGTCTCATGACATTGACAACAGTTTACCACAATGCAACAGCTCCCCTCCCACTTCCTCCCCATAGTTA